CCGCATTCCTAAATGGAGGAGAGGAAGAGACGACTTCCCCGAAGAATACTCTCTGCCAGGCAGTCCGTGGCTGCGACACGCCTGTTAACCCCGCGTGTTACGGGACGCGGCCACAGGTGTGCTGGGAACTGGGGAGTCGGGCCTTTAACTCGTCGCTGGTAGCAGCCAATCAAACGTCAGCGTGCTTAATGCCAACCAATGGAAGAGGAATACTGATTGGTCAACATGGATTTTTTTTTTTTTTACTTACCCCCCGGTCACATCAAGCTCGATTTTGAAGTAATGCGACCTACAGCGATGTCGCACGATTTCAAAGTCGAGGGACCCGCCGATTTCAGGTGCGATTTGCAAGACATCTGACACACAATCGCATCAAGTAGCGCATGGACGTCTTTATAAATATGACCGCTCTAATTGCGGACAATAGGATGCGACTTGGCGTGCGATTTGCGAGAGATTCAAACCCGCTCACATGCTCGCTTTCCTGATGCAGCAGCCCATTTAAGAGCTCGCTCCTGGGATGGTGTGTACCGTGTTCAGTGAGCCCCGGTTCACACTGGATCCCATTTTTAAGCCCCCAGGTCACATCGGGTGCGATTTGGCATGCGTTTTGCAACTCTGAGCAACAATACAGCTAGGAGTCTCTTAGCAACATCCTAGCAACGTCCCAGGAGTTTTCCACTCAGACTCCTAGCTGCTACTGTTCATCTCCACCATCACAGGAGTTCTCTCTTTCTTTGATTCAAGCCCACTCACATGCTCTTTCTATTTCCTGAAGGTGAATAGTAATAGCTGGGCCTCTCTTAGCAACAGCCTAGCAACATCCCAGGAGTTTTCCACTCAGACTCCTAGCTGCTACTGTTCATCTCCACCATCGTAGGAGCGAGCTCTTTCTTTGATCCAAGCCCTCTTACATGCTCTCTTTCCTGAAGAGCTCGCTCCTGTGGTGGTGAAGTTGAACAGTAACAGCTGGGCCTCTCTTAGCAACATCCTAGCAATGCCGTAGGGGTCTTCTATCCAGGCTTCAGGAGGTACGTAAATGGTCCACACCTATAGAAAGGACATTATTTAAGTTGAATAATGTCCTTTCTATAGATGTGGACCATTTAGGTACCTCCTGAAGCCTGGATGGAAAACTCCTGGGACGTTGCTAGGATGTTGCTAAGAGAGGCCCAGCTGTTGCTGTTCAACTTCAACATCACAGGAGCGAGCTCTTTAGGAAAGAGAGCATGTAAGGGGGCTTGAATCAAAGAAAGAGCTAACTCCTATGATGTTGGAGATGAACAGTAGCAGCTAGCAGTCTGAGTGGAAAACTCCTAGGGCGTTGCTAGGATGTTGCTAAGAGATGCCTAGCTATTACTTAGAGAAAGAGCATGTGAGGGGGCTTGATTTGAGAAACAGCTCGCTCCTGTGATGGTGGAGGTGAACAGTAGCAGCTAGGAGTCTGAGTGGAAAACTCCTGGGATGTTGCTAGGATGTTGCTAAGAGACTCCTAGCTGTTATTGTTCACCTTCACCATCACTGGAGTGAGCTCTGTCTCTGATTCAAACCCCCTCACCTACGCTTTCTCTTCCTTGACAAAGTAGCTCTGAGCTCAGCATTTGAGGGCTCGCTCCTGTGATGCAGGAACAGCTGGGAGTGTCTTAGCAATGTCCTTAGCAACGTCCTAGGAGTTTTGCACACAGGCTTCAGGAGTTACATAAATGGCCTACAGACTTTATTCAACAATGGTCAAAGCTGAATGGTTTGTCTTTATAGGCACCCCTTACCTACAACTTTTTTCAGTAAAGATGGAAGGCAATGATAGCCGAGGCACCATAGAAACCAGTCTGTATGTGACCTCGGAGCTGTGAATCCTCCTGCCAGACACTGGTTGCCGTGGGTGACCCGGACACTCTACCATATATATCAACATGAAATACATGGGTTCAGTGCCGATTCCGCGAACGTGTGGACTTCAGGAAGGATAGAACATAGCGGGGGGAGGGGATAGGATATTCAGTTATTGTGAGTACGAAACGCGTCGCACATTTTCATTTGTAGACACAGCTGCGTGTATGGCCCCAGGGGTTCCTACAGTGCAAAGCTGCAGGCTGCACACATGTAAACGCAGAGTTTTATATCCAATAAACACACGACAGGGCCTCATGTACAATCAGCTCTCTGTGTTCCCCGCAGAAATTCATCACATTCTGCGCAAGCTGATAGGTTACCATGGCTGGCTGAAATCTATGTAAAGCCAACATTTTTGCTATTGGATGGAGGGGAGAGGGGTAAGAACCCTGCCAGGTTTTTATTATCATCTGTGCGAGCATCAGAATTGGTGACCCTTAATACAGGCACTTAGACCTTAGATCACAAGTTAAAAAAAAAACCCAGAAAACATAGAAAATAAAAAAGGGAAAAAAACAAAAAAAAATTATAGATATATTATATCTATAGATAGATAGATAGATAGATAATAGATAGATAGATAGATAGATAGATAGATAGATAGATAGATAGATAGATAATAGATAGATAGATAGATAGATAGATAGATAGATAGATAGATAGATAGATAGATAGATAGATAGATAGATAGATAGATAGATAGATAGATAGATAGATAGATAATAAATAGATAGATAGATAGATAGATAGATAGATAGATAGATAATAGATAGATAGATAGATAGATAGATAGATAGATAGATAGATAGATAGATAGATAGATAGATAGATAGATAGATAATAGATAGATAGATAGATAGATAGATAGATAGATAGATAGATAATAGATAGATAGATAGATAGATAATAGATAGATAGATAGATAATAGATAGATAATAGATAGATAATAGATAGATAGATAGATAGATAGATAGATAGATAGATAGATAGATAATAGATAGATAATAGATAGATAGATAGATAGATAGATAGATAGATAGATAGATAGATAGATAGATAGATAGATAGATAGATAGATAGATAGATAGATAGATAATAGATAGATAATAGATAGATAGATAATAGATAGATAATAGATAATAAATAGATAGATAGATAGATAGATAGATAGATAGATAGATAGATAGATAATAGATAGATAGATAGATAGATAGATAGATAGATAATAGATAGATAGATAGATAGATAGATAATAGATAGATAATAGATAGATAGATAGATAGATAGATAGATAGATAGATAGATAGATAGATAGATAGATAGATAGATAGATAGATAGATAATAGATAGATAATAGATAGATAGATAGATAGATAGATAGATAGATAATAGATAGATAGATAATAGATAATAGATAGATAGATAAATAGATAGATAGATAGATAGATAGATAATAGATAGATAATAGATAGATAATAGATAGATAGATAGATAGATAGATAATAGATAGATAGATAGATAGATAATAGATAGATAGATAGATAGATAGATAGATAGATAGATAATAGATAGATAGATAGATAGATAGATAGATAGATAGATAGATAGATAGATAGATAGATAGATAGATAGATAGATAATAGATAGATAGATAATAGATAGATAATAGATAGATAGATAGATAGATAGATAGATAGATAGATAGATAGATAGATAGAGGGAATATCCCCCACTATGGGCATTCACCCGTTAGTTCCAGGGACAGGAAGTGAAGGGCAATCTCCTTTCGGGGACACAAAATGAAAAGACAGGTCTATGTAAAGGTTCTCGATCATTCTCCACTCCATCTTCAACTAAACAAACACAAAAAAGGTTTTCCATGAAACGTAAAATGCAGTTAATGACAACAGTCTTTAGTTCAGGACGGAGTGGAGAGGGATTAGACCCCTTGTCAGGTTCTCAGTGCTGTACGTGTCCCCATTAGGGAGATTCTGTATTTGTCCTGAGAGTGAAAGAAAACTCCAAATGTTGGGTTGTCCCCAGAACAGGAATAGAGGGGAAATCTTACAATGGGGACACTAGTTTCTGGGATTTCCTCTCCCTTCCTGTTGTGGCTATGGGCCAGGAAGTGAAGGGAAATCTCCCCAAGGGGACACCGGACCCATCAAAAAACCCGTACCTCCAGCCACACATAAACACACGCACACACTGAAACCTCACAGTCATTTTTCTTTCAAAAATAGGCTTTTTTTTATTATAAATTACCAAGATGTGTCAAATATAAATAAGTGCAAATGTCCGTGGTCCGTGTCACCCATGGGGGGACACCGTGTAAACATCCGCGAGGTCCGCCTCGGCCTCTCTATCTGGTCCATGGCCTCCTGTGCAAAATCCAATTCTGCATAGAACACAGAGAATGAGAATCGTTCCGTTTTCCGCCAGTCGTGCGACTTCTTCAGTTTTGCCATTTTTTTTTGTAAAAAAAACTTTTTATTCAATCGTCTTAGCAGTTTTAATCAGAACCTTCTGGAGGAAGAAGAAGGAGCCGAGCCACTTTTGTGCAAAGCTTGATTCCGCTTGGAGGTCGGAATTTTTTTTTTTACTTCTTGTGCATTGTCTCCATGCGTTGCGCCCGGCCCCCGCACTGCCAATACGGATATTCTTCACATATCCCGGTAATGCCCTGCAGTGCGCGCCTCGGACCGCAGCAGATTAAGGCCACGTAGGTGACGGTATAACAAACATCCATCTCACTGTTGTGGACATACCCTGAAGGACAGACGTTCCGTTCTAGGCTTACGTCCGGAGCCGCAACATAAGCCCCTCCCCCCTCTTCCTTTGTCTCACACCCAGCATGCAATGTAAACGGAGGGCAATGTCCACAGTCTCTACGGTCTCTGGGTGCTGTTGAGTATCTGCCTGAGTATCGTCCTCTACCTTTAGGCACTTGGTGAAAAACAATTCGACGCGGTCCATTAGGATATCCGTGTGCCCGGTGCTACTCCCTCCATGGATACCACTCATGCTCCATATTGTTGTAGTCCTGATTGGAGCCTCTCCATTTTATCTCAGGTTCGGTTCTTTGCCTCCATCATGGCCGGCGCGGTTATACTGGAGAGTCATATTCCTGGAGAAAGTCTTTGATGGGCAGAGGTAGCTTTTCTCGAGCTTCGAAGCCTTCCAGTTGTCCATTGACCGCCTTCCTGCAAAGGTGCTGCAAGGAGGAGACGCTGGAGTTCAGCGGCCTGGAGAGAAGCAACGGGACGCGCTCGCCACCAGAATAGATATAATAGCAGCGCCTGTTGCTGTTGGCGGAGTCTTTGGCTGGCATGTAATGCCGGAGGAGTTTCAGCACGCAGTCGAACCTCGGCACCGGTTGCGAGCTGCGTGGGTCAGTCTGTAGGGAGAATCCGCACGGTTCGCATTGAATGCGCAAGTTTTTGGTGCCGGATTCGGTTTTGACGCTGAGGGTGAAGAAGTGGCGGTTGTCGGAGCTGTCCCTGATCAGGAAGGTGCCGGCGGGTTCCGTGCTGAGCAGCAGGTTGGCCTGACTCCCCGTCACCGTGCTCCAATAAAATCCGCTCTCCTGAAGTTTATGGACCGCGCTCAGCACCAGGTTGTACTCGCTGCGAGAAGAGAAGGTCTTGAGCCTTAGGCTTGAGTCCAGCGCCCGGCTCATGCTCGGAAACTTGCTCTGCGTGACCATGACGGTGGGAGCCAGCTTGGCTAAATCTTGGGGAGTCCAACCCTTGGGTGGAAACGGTGGCTGTGACCTGAGAAGGAAAACCAAAAACCATGTTAGTGCATCGTAACAGAGCAAGACAATGAAGATAAAACTCAAATATTGTGTCAGTGCACCGAGCCAATGAAAGACCAATTAAGAAGGGTGTTAGTGCCCCTCAGAATGGACTACACCAATAAAAGACCAATGAAGAAGGATGTTAGTGCCCCTCAGAATGGACTACACCAACGAAAGACCAATGCAGAAGGATGTTAGTGCCCCTCAGAATGGACTATACCAATGAAAGACCAATTAAGAAGGATGTTAGTGCCCCTCAGAATGGACTATACCAATGAAAGACCAATTAAGAAGGATGTTAGTGCCCCTCAGAATGGACTACGCCAATAAAATACCAATGAAGAAGGATGTTAGTGCCCCTCAGAATGGACTATACCAATGAAAGACCAATTAAGAAAGATGTTAGTGCCCCTCAAAATGGACTACACCAATAGAATGCCAATGAAGAAGGATGTTAGTGCCCCTCAGAATGGACTACACCAATAAAAGACCAATGAAGAAGGATGTTAGTGCCCCTCAGAATGGACTACACCAATAAAAGACCAATGAAGAAGGATGTTAGTGCCCCTCAGAATGGACTACACCAATAAAAGACCAATGAAGAAGGATGTTATTGCCCCTCAGAATGGACTACACCAATGAAAGACCAATGAAAAAGGATGTTAGTGCCCCTCAGAATGGACTACACCAATAAAGACAAAAACCAAACACTGTGTTAGTGCAACGTAACAGACTGCGCCAATGAAGACAAATGCAAATACTGTGTCAGTGCACCACGTAATGGACCACGCCAATGAAAGACCAATAAAGAAGGATGTTAGTGCCCCTCAGAAAGGACTACGCCAATGAAAGACCAATGAAGAAGAGTGTTAGTGCCCCTCAGAAAGGACTACGCCAATGAAAGACCAATGAAGAAGAGTGTTAGTGCCCCTCAGAAAGGACTACGCCAATGAAAGACCAATGAAGAAGAGTGTTAGTGCCCCTCATAATGGACTACACCAATGAAGACCTAAACCAAACACCATGTTGGTGCACCATGAAAGACTGTGCCAATGAAAACAAAAACCAAATACTATGTTGGTGCACGATATAACGGACTGCACCAAAGACACAACCAATGAGAAAGGAACCCAAAAATTTGCATGCCTACTGCATTTCTTATCTACGATGTATGAAAAAAAAAAAAATAAGGCAAACCGCTGCCAAAAAAATGGTCGGCCATCGCCAATCCTCTATTTATATCCCCGGGTCTAAGACCAGCTCAACTTCAAGATTCTAATCCCATAAAACCTCGTCAGCGACATCACCAACTCCGCAGATGGTATTTAGCATTCAAGCTTTCCATGGGCCCATTGTAACCCATAGAAGACGGCACATTCGGCAGGAAAAATGCAGCGTGCCGTCCACTTGGGCATGCCGTGGGAAGCTGAGCCTACGTCTGCTCATGGCAGCAAAAGCAAGTCTGAACATTTCCATCTGGGCAAAAAAAAAAAAAAAAACGCAGGAATCCTGAAACAAAAGAGCTGAAAGATCCCACATAGAAGATGGAAGATTTCTCCACCCACTCCTATGAATATCACATTATTCCGGGTTTTACCAAACTCCTCTGCAAACTCCTCTCACCCCATGAGTGCCCCAAGCAACCAGTAACCTCTGCACTATCCGAAAACTCGCCCATTGCCAGAAACTTTTTATTTGCTTTTATTTCTCTTCCTCTTTCCTTCTTTCTATCTAATCTGTAGATTTATCTATAAAGTGTATTATTTCTTTCTTTGTCTCCCTCTAGACTTACAACGTAAAGTTAGTAAAGTACAGCTGATACAATGTTACATTATATATATCATATATACAATATATATACATATTGTTACATTGTAGATGATAAACTTTCCTGGGAATTAATTCTTTCTTTCTTTTGTAAAGTTTCTGATACAATGTTACAGATATATATAAATGACATGCTGTTACATTGTAGATTATATACTTTGCCTTGTCTTTCTTTTTCTTTCTTTAGTAGTTTCTGATACAATGTTACAGATATATATAAAATGACATGCTGTTACATTGTAGATGATATACTTTGCTATCCTTCCTTTCTTTCTTTCAATACTATTTATTCTTTCTCTCTCTCCAGACTTGCAATACAAAGTTAGTAAAGTTTCTGATACAATGTTACAGATATATAAATGACATGCTGTTACATTGTAGATGATATACTTTGCTATCCTTCCTTTCTTTCTTTTCAATACTTTTTATTCTTTCTCTCTCTCCAGACTTGCAATATAAAGTTAGTAAAGTTTCTGATACAATGTTACAGATATATATAACTGACATGCTGTTACATTGTAGATGATTAGATGATATACTTTGCTTTTCTTTCTCTTTCTTATCTGTATTTATAATATTTACTCTTTCTATCCCTCCAGTAAGGTTAGTAAAGTTTCTGATACAATGTTACAGATATATATCATTGACATGCTGTTACATTGTAGATGATATACTTTGCTTTTCTTTCTCTCTCTCTCTCTCTCTCTCTCTATGTAATCTGTATTTATAATATTTACTCTTTCTTTCTCTCTCTCTCTCCAGTAAAGTTAGTAAACTTTTTGATACATATTCATATGTATCAAAAACTTGTTGCTAACTACACAATGTTGTATATTTATATAATAGATTTTGTTACATTGTAGATGCTAAACTTTGCGTTATTTCTGCCTCCGGTCTAGACCAATCCGAATGGTTTTTAGGATTCTGAGCCGCTTACCTGATGAATTTTGGTATCTGGAGGAAGACAAAGGCAGTAAAAAAAAATATGAGAATATTCCGTGTGAGCAGATTATAATCCAAGGTTGTGCTTCTTCGACTTACAAAATCAGTGTGTAACTCCATGAGATCACACACACAGTTCTTATACAGTAAGAGCTCCTCCCCTCCCCCCAGCCCCCCCTCCCCCCCCCTGGTGGCTCTATTCCTGGAAGAGGTTCTTCCTGTAATGTTAATGCTGTGTATCATACACACACACACACACACACACACAGCTTGCTGACGGCAGCCTTCCAAATCCTCCCTATTCCTGGCAGGCCTCGCGGCTCAGGCGTCTCCCATTCTCTAAATGGGGTTTCCTTCCAAGAATGGCGGGGACACACACGCTGACCGTGACCGATCAATCATTGTTTTCGCTCAACGACCAGAGAACATGGCGAAAGATTTCCTTTTACAGGAATGAATCCTTCCCGCGGGGCGGATTTGTAGTATAAACGCAGAAAACGAGGCGCAGCGAGGCGATGGCTTGTTTGGTAAATGGTTTGTTTGCCTGCACAGGCTCTTGAAGGATCCTTGCTCCACTTTGCTGGTTGCCGTAGGCGCCGTGGGGATGTTTCGTCTGACTCCCATGGCAACCGGCAAAGTTTTGGCATTCCGGCATTGGTCACGGTGAATCATTGGTAATCCTGTACAGACGCACAAAAAGATATGAATAGAGAACACCCCCGTCCAATCACTGAGCCCAGCCCGAGCTGTGTCTCCCCCCCCCCCCCCCGCAATGCAACCGATCTGCCAAAATGATCAGTGCAACTTCCAGCACAAAAATCCTCATTTAAATATATATAAATCCACTCTGTGCGCACCAAATGGCTTTACATACCCAGATATTACCTTGTAAATGTAGCAGTGACATCATCAATGGGCTGTACATAGACTGTGCAGAGGACAGAGCTGTGGGAGGGGCCCAGAAGGCCCCACCCACTGCAGGAGACTACAGGAGGGGGCAGAAACAAGACCAGTCTGCACAAGTAGAGAGAGCAGGGCTGTAGGAGGGGCTCAGCAGGCCCCACCTACTACAGAAGACTACAGGAGGGGGCGGAGACCAGACCAGACACTCTGCACAAGGAGAGAGAGCAGAGTTGTGGGAGGGGCTCAGCAGGCCCCACCTACTACAGAAGACTACAGGAGGGGGCGGAGACCAGACCAGACACTCTGCACAAGGAGAGAGAGCAGAGTTGTGGGAGGGGCTCAGCAGGCCCCACCTACTACAGAAGACTACAGGAGGGGGCCGGAGACCAGACCAGACCAGACACTCTGCACAAGAAGAGAGGGCAGAGCTGTGGGAGGGGCTCAGCAGGCCCCACCCACTACAGAAGACTACAGGAGGGGGCGGAGACCAGACACTCTGCACAAGAAGAGAGGGCAGAGCTGTGGGAGGGGCTCAGCAGGCCCCACCTACTACAGAAGACTACGGGAGGGGGGCGGAGACCAGACCAGACCAGCCATCCTGCACAATGAAAGAGAGCAGAGCTGTGGGAGGGGCTCATCAGGCCCCACCCACTACAGAAGACTTTGGGAGGGGGGCGGATACCAGACCAGACACTCTGCACAAGGAGAGAGAGCAGAGCTGTGGGAGGGGCTCAGCAGGCCCCACCCACTACAGAAGACTACGGGAGGGGGGCGGATACCAGACCAACCACACTGCACAAGAAGAGAGAGCAGAGCTGTGGGAGGGGCTCAGCAGGCCCCACCCACTACAGAAGACTACGGGAGGGGGGCGGATACCAGACCAACCGCACTGCACAAGGAGAGAGAGCAGGGCTGTGGGAGGGGCTCAGCAGGCCCCACCCACTACAGAAGACTACGGGAGGGGGGCGGATACCAGACCAACCACACTGCACAAGGAGAGAGAGCAGAGCTGTGGGAGGGGCTCAGCAGGCCCCACCCACTACAGGCTGCACCATCCATTAAGCTTGCAGGCTTTAATGCATCCATTAAAATAAAAATCTTTAACAATCCATCCATTTAACAAATGCACTTTTTAAATGAATTCCGGTGCAATGCTCTGCAGGCTTGAATGATTCATTTAAAAAAAATTTAAACAATATATTTATTTAATAAATGCACATTAAAAAAAAATTAAC